AATGTGGATTACGTTAAATGATTATTTGATTTAATTCGTAAGTCTATTCAATTAGGATATTCGATTGAATTAATAATTGAATTGGGTGATTGTTTAAACGCTGATTTAAATATTTAGATACTGTGATAGTCAAAATTACATGCAATTAGTATTCTGTGGATTGATATTCTTTAATTCATTTTTACTCACTTTAATTCTATCTGTAATTTGATTTAATTAATTTACAATTTTTAAAACTCAAAAAACCTTATTTGCATTTTTTTAAAATAAAACCTGAAATTAAATTTGATTGAAAATGTGTCTATGTAAATTGACCTAAGTTTGGCTCTATACTATAAAACCTTTAGAAAACTTAGTTGTTTTTATAGCGACTTGGCATCGTCTATCAATCTGCAGTGCACTAACAAGGTCAATCACTTTAAGCTGTGTTACATCCTTGGTGTTCTCTAGTGAAGTATAGTTGTTTCATACTTTGGCACCAAAAAACAAGAATCTTTTGCATAATCCTTCCATTCAATGCTAAGAACTTTTGTCTTTTTGGCAATCAGTTCGTTTGAGTATTCTTTAATTGACTCAGCTCTTTCATCTACAACCTTTTGACTCTGTGATCAAATTCAACACTTTCATGCTCTTGATCCTCTCATGTCCTTGAGACTCAACCTAGAGATAATTCTAAATCTCCTTGATTGAAGCAAGAGTCATGATTATGGTGAAGATGGCTAATAAAATTGAAACATATAAGCAAGATCTTCTTATGAATCTTGATTTGATTGATGGTTGGATTATCTTGAAGTGAAGCTACTTGGTAGTCATTTTCAACTGCTTCCCAATGTCACACCCCTCCATATACGCCTATATTCTCACTATCCAGACCTGATAAGTTTCACCATCAAATACAAGTGGAGCTAGAGTAGAGAGACTGCTTGACCTTCTTTCCATCACGCAATTTCTCATATGTATCACTTAAGAATTTATCTCAATTTAACTCACAGGCCCTTAAGAATGACGGATCTTGATACCAATGTTGCATTGAACAATTCTATATATATATATATATATAAAGGTAATCTGTCTGCAGAAAAAAAAAAAAAAAGGCAGATTTTTGAAGAATGGGAAGGAAGAAGATTTAATTTTCTGATTGCATAAACACACATAGTATATAACTTGTAAAACAAATGACTATGAATCTCTCAAAACAGCCACTAACAAAAATCATAACTTAAGCATAAATAACTGCAACTCACTTTCCTAAAAACTAAGACTTAACTTAGACTTAATTAAACTTAACAAAAAAACGTAAACTTTGCAGCCTTGAGACACTAACAACATGTTGAGAAAACCTTTTGAGGCATCGTTGAGGAGAATGAATGACATGACTTTTAGTCTAGTAAAAAAAGGAAAGAGAGATCCAAAAGAATTTTAAAAAAAGTAATTAAAATAGACATTTTGATTAATATTTCTAAAAAATTAGTTTTTAACTGAGCTCAATAACGTCCTATAATCCATGTAGTTTACTTCATATAATGGGATAAGGATTAATTATTGTTATTGATTTTTATGTCAGAATGTACTTTAATTACTTACTGCATTCTTATTTGGCATCCAGCCATCCAGGTTAAACTCATTAAATGGTTATGCTTTTAACATGGTTTGAGTATCATCTATATAATCAAACATTTTCTAGTTGGTAAAACTTGGTATGCTTTATGCAATTTACGCAGCTAAACAAATTTTCAGTGTAAATCATTTTAATTTTGCTGCTCTTGATGGGAAGGGATGATCAACTAATGGAAAGTTTTGTCTAATCTTCATCATAAAATGTCATAAACTATAAACAATGAGCTTTTTATCATTGGTATACACATTTACTTTACGGTAGGTTTCAAGTTTCACTTTACCGTCTTAGAATCTTTGTCTAACTTAACTTTGGTTCACTAGCCACCAAATTTAAAATATTCCCCTCATATTTCCTAAATGTTTTCTTTGAACCCCTTGGAGATTTAGAAACATTGGAAATATTAATCCTTAGATTTAATAATAAAGAAGTCATCTCCATGCCCTGCAAAAAATAAAAACAAATCTTACTGTAAACTAAGGCCAAAAATTCAATGGATCAGTCTTCAATGTCACAAATCTCATCATTATATTTACTTTAAAATGGTTCACATTAGCTTGTCATTCTTTCCTATCACATTTTAACAGGTTCATTATGTACTGTTGTTGGTTTGTTTGTTAGTGAAAAAAGGATAATTTAATGCAGAACAGTTAAAAGGCATGGTTATCCTTGTATCGCTACAGCAGAATATGTTCACTTTGCAACTAGCAGGTGTTGTAGGCTTTCCTAATGATTTATTGTTTGTTGTTTGTTATTTCTCGGTGAGTTGATGAAAAATGCTAATTGCACTATGAATCCCACCATCTAGAGTATGTGGCATAGTAAGTGAATATATGAAGAAAATGAGGTGTGACCCTTATAACCAGATCTGACCCTTATAACCAGATCAAGGAAAACAGAAAGTAGAGTGGCCAAAGCCAAATACTAGCACTGAAAATGGAAGAACTTTTATTTGGTCACAGTGAAATGTTTGGCTGACATTACTTTGATCACTGATAGACAGGTAACACGTGTGTGTTTGGATAAGTGTCTACAAATTTGAGTTTGAATGAACTTGATTTTGCAAAAGTGAGTTTAAGTGCATGTTTGGAATGTAGACGCTAAACAGTATAGCTTTTGCGTCAACTTCAAAAAAAAAATAAAAAATTCAAACATGTGAAAAATTAAGGTGATTCTTAAAGGTAAGTTTGTAGTAAATTTTAGTATAATATAATTTTACATATGCAAACGTGAATTTAGAATTAGAATCAATTTTAATTCATAGCTATTAAATATATTAGCATAATAATCAAAACACATTTACCTGTTCAACATGATTCTAGAGACGCAAACGTGTTTTCAAACATCAACCTAATTCCTTAATCAGGAAAAGTGACATCAGTTTATTTTTTTTTTCAGCATGAAAGCCAAGACAGGATGCAACACTAAGCATCACTGTAAAGATGACTAAAAATTAATGCTTCTGTCAATTTGGGGGCAAACTACATCTACAAACAAGAGGCATATCTTGACTCTTGTTATTCAACAAACAGCCGTTGACTTTTGGCACTTGGCAAAGGGGTCCACATCATCTTAAGGATAAGCTGCATTATAGAATGTCCCATTTCTATGTTTAATTCTAATACGTAAGACTCGAGTTTGCTTTATCCTCTTATTTAACTTTTTAATAATCTTTCTGTTATTTTATAAAATAAACATTAAATGAAAAAGATATATATTTATTATCTTAAGAGTATAAAATATACTTAATATGTTTTTTATATAATAATTAGAAGAATTTGTAAGAATAAAAGATAGAAAAATTTAGAATTACTCGTTATTATATTGTTAAAAAAGATGTAAAAGTAATACATGCACTGGAATTGGATTCTCTGAATCATCCAATTTATTTTTATTTAAGCAAATCTTAAGAAAATGACAAGAAATTATGTAAAATTTGCTTTCTACATCTACAGTATTCAACACTTCACACTAAAAAACTTTAAAAATAAAATAAAATAAAGGGTACATCCAAAGTGATCATGGGAGCAACCTTGGTAATGGTAGTAACCCTTGCTGTTGTTCTAGATCTAATTCTAGTGCTCAGTTAACTACAACTCCAACATCATCCCATCTCCACCACTCCAACCACCACAATTGTAGTCACTATTTTCCCTTCACATGTACCACATTCTCAAGAACTCTCTCCTCTTCCACCACCCTTCAACAATATTTATTCACAAGGCGTCCTCCAAGTCTCAAGAAACTTCTTTTTTTTCTTGCAAAAATGACATAGTTGAACCAGTGAAACATTATCGACAAGAATCAAAAGTATCTCCACTATCATTCTTCTTGACCATAGCACCAGGGACTATAATGAGTCAAGAAAAGAAGATACTCTATCTTTTCAAAAGCATAAAATTCACTTAAATGAATTTTACATAATTTTTCATCATTTTTTTAGAATTTACTTGAGTGAATCCAAATTTGTTTAAGCAAAGATAGATCCACATCCTACATGCACTTCCCTTTCCTTTCCTTGTTAAGCTTTCAAGGAAAATCCCATATCTTATGAAATATTTCTCGCATTGTCTTGACAAATGGCTTGCGTTACATAAGAATGACTTTACACTAATCACATAAATACTTTATTTCAAAATTGATGTCAAAATAATATCTCCGGTGTCACTCTAATGATAAAAATAATATAAGAAAAAAATAATTTTAATTTCTTTTACTTTTTATGTCTATAGCTTTTTTAAATTATAAAATAAATAAATTATTAATTTTTGTATATGTTTAAGGTAATAAATGTTTATATTTTTCTATTTAATGTTTATCTTATAAGTAATAGGAAGATTAAGAATTTAGAAAAGTTCTAAAAAAAATACTAACAAGTCTTTAGGATTAATTTTAAGCAATTAAAAATTAAAAAAATTATTAAAAAGAAAATATTTATTGCATTGAAAATATAAAATAAAAAAGTGTCAAAGTTTTGTTACAGTTATTACAACAATAATAAACTTTAAACTTTATGTAGTGGAAAGTTTCTTAGGAGGATATACTAAAGTAAGCATTATTATATTAAAAATAAAAAATATATTTAATACATTGAATATTTTATTCAGTAATTACAAGAATTTCTAAAACTAAAGGATAGGAATATTTAAAACTATTCATAAATATTAAATAAAAATACATATATTTAAATTTTTTATGATATATATATATATATATATATATTTAATATCATTATTTCAAAATTTAACGTCTAACAATCTGATACAAACCATACCTCATCCTTTTGCAACAAATTTTTACCATATTTGGACTTTCTGTTTATGTATTTACTTTCATGTGCACCCGGCTAATCTGTCTACAATATGTTTGATCAAAAGTCAGATTAAGAGAGGAAAAAGAAAACAGTAGAATTACCCTTCAAAGAACATAGTCAGTCTTACGAAGCACCAATAAAATTTGAGTTGAACAAGAAAGAAAAATTTTACATTTGATACACAAATGAATAGCATGTAAAATTTCGTTTCCTTTTCGTGACTTACAAATTACAATACACAGCATGACTATGCTTTGGCAAAGCAAGACTCCCTCAACTATCATGTGAAGATGAACTCTGTAGCAGCGCTTTGCCATCTTCTCCCGACACTGATGGTGACGGCGATGGCGACACAACACCATTCTGATTCTCACCTTCTGAACTTGTAGATGGTTTTGCACCATTAGTAATAATATTTTTCAACCAAGAAGCTTGAAATCTAGGGGACCCCCCTCTGTTTGAATTGTTAGGGGAGTCTGGACCATTTTTAACATTATTGGTAACATTATTGGTAACACCTAAGAGGAACCGGTATGCTACTTTGCTTGCTGTTACAATTTCTGTTTTGGCTTGCCGGAACTGCAATAATCAGCCATAATTATCAGTGCAACCATTGAGTGTCTCAAAATTTGTCAATACTAATAATAAAATATTTTATTAACATCAGCCCGAATTAAGCATCCAAAAGTAGTAAAATTTAATTGAAAAGCATTTATTACACTTTCGTATTTCCAATATAATAAATACTTCCTTTCCAATAAAAATGTACTACTTTTAGATGTTTAACCTCAGCTTGAGGTTAACAAAACCAAATAGTTAATTTTAGTAGTTTGAAGTGTTCAAGCCAAAAGCCCCAAGAACAGTCAGGTCCTGACTTGGAAATAGTTCAATACAAGAACATATGTTAGTGGATTTTGAAATTCATTTCTTACCCGCAATGCTGTATTTCCAGCCACTTCCATAGCAGTATCACCAGCATTGGCAAACCTATTGACCCAACCTGTCATGGAAGATATAAGAATACACAGTGTAAGCTGAAAAAGTAATGTACAGAAGCAATAATTCAATGATTCGCAAGTTGGATCACTTTTCTCATGTAAAATGCGCATTCAAAACTAATTCAGCACACATTTCCCAGTTGAATGGAACTTGGGTTACAGTATGATAACAAGCATACAACTCTCTAAATGGAATGGAGTTTCCTCTGCTCAAAGATAAGTATATTATACTAGGAGAAACAATATATTTAATAGAGAAGCTTAACAGTTAAAACACAGCATACCGGAATTTACATGGCACTTCCCTAAATATTATTACTAGGCCATTTTTTAGCAGCAAAATGATAATTAAAACCATAAGAAAAATGTTACAATTAGATGTTTACCTGGAAGTTTTGGTACACCAAGCCTTTCACAAAATTCGTCACAGAAGTGATTGCAGTTTTTGGCCAATAGATCATACGAACTTCCAGGCCACTCTCTACTGAGTTCTCTTAATATTTGATTTACCTTGAAAATGGAAAAGTTTGTTTTCCCCAGAACAATGGATTCACGATATGTATACATTGGATTCTTTCCAGAAGGGCAACTAAAAACTCCAGTACCCTGCTCACAGAATCCAAATGACCATTCATCATCTCCATAAACCTGTGACAGCAAAACAAACACAACATATATGTCAGCATATGACAAAATAACAGGCATACCATAATTGTCAAGGAAGCTGAAGTGTGTCAATGAAAAATAAATTTTGGGCCAAAAACTGCAAGCATACAATATGCCAAGATAAATAATAAAAAGGTAATATTTTGAGGGTAACAGTTTCTGTTTTAGCTGTTCCACAACATCGAGGAAGCTGAATAGCTTGATACTGCAGTTTTCCTTCCCTTAAGAAAAAAATAATGAAGGAACAACATCATAATCATATTTCCCAAGTAGATGTCATTCAAAGATGATTTTCCATCTCAAACTGCCAGAATAATTGTATTCTTCATGATTTTAAAATTTAAAGGGAGATATATTATTACATGCACAGGTAATAACAATGGTGAACATAAAACATTTAATCAAATCAACATTCAAGTTGATAACATTCATATTTTTATAGTTTCTTAGGCTTTGTAAATGAGGTAAAATTCACATACAAAATTCCAAGTTAAGGAATTAAAAGCATAGTAGCCAATCTCAGATAGTGGTGAGGAGCAGCTGACCCCAAAAATGGTATAGTGAGATAACTACTATTCTGAAGATAATCGAAACAGAGAAAGAAAATAGATTAAAGAGTGTTCAATCACTAGAAAAAGCTCTAACGCATATGGTCTCGCCAAAAAACATTTCACTGTCATCGAAAAATGTCTACTTCTTGTTGGAAATTGCTTGAGTTTCGCCAGAGATGAAAAAAACAACCAGAAAATATGTTAAAAGACAACCAGAAAAAGTGTTTAGTCATGTTAAAAATAAGTTGGGTTTTGCCAGAGATGAAGAAGAAAACCAGAACTTAGCCGGAAATGGTAACTTGCACCAGAAAGTGATGCCGGAGATGGAGGTCGAAACTAAAGAATGAGAGTACCAGGATGGAGGTATGATTTAATCTTGACTTGCGAAAATAGAAGAGAAGTAAAAAGCATCACAATGCAAAAAGGGGGCAAATTCCAAGATTCCTCCCCACTAAAAACCATTCCAACTTTAAGAAAGAGAGGGGACTTGCCCTTTTGCCCCTTTTGAAATAGGGACCGCAATTTTCACCTTTCACAGCTGCAAATCACAGCACAACAGCCACTACACAGAACTGTGACACAACAGCCCAGAATCACAGCAGGGAGCCACTCCTCCACAATTGCACCTGCAATTGCCACTATTGACTACTATGATCAAAAATACAAAATACAAAAGTAAAGGTTCACACCACTCTTTGATTCTTCTGTTTCTCAGTCTTCTCAGAATAAAAAAGACGCAAGTTCTACAAGATTTGCTCTATCAACCAGGCTTGTAACTACTTATCACTAGTCCCTTCCCTTTGAGCATTAAGAATAACTAATAAACTTGTTAACAGTTCCTCCTAATTTCCTCTAAAGCATTCTATGTCAAGCAGTTCATCTTTGTAAGCATGAAAGAAAATAACACAATTGCAGTTCTGTGATTCTGTCTTTTGTTAACACCACACAATACCTATTTCACAATTTCAGACATCTAGATCAAAATCTCAACATATGTCCTGTTTTATTAGGGATTTAACCCAGTGGAACCCCTTCATAATCGAACATTTTGAAGCCAGCCTGGCCAGCAAACCAAATAACCAGTCCATGATGAGTCAGAGAAGATTTTCATGATGCAATTTAGCAAGAAAAAATCCGAATCTATCAGGCTTTGCGCCTGTGAACCCAGTGTCAATAAAAAATACAGCCGATTTCCATTCTAATTTTTCCTACAAGTATAAGATCCTAATTACATCTGTTGCATCCATATCATACATCATGTATATCAATTTTTCCCCTCACTTCTGAATGATCTTTCCTTTCACACCACAGCAGTTAGTCAGTTACATCCATGCACTCCACAACACTTAATATCCACATTACACACTCCCCTGTCATACTTACCAACTCTAACCCACTTTATAAAATGAAGATAAGAACATAAAGAAGTAGCATCTAGCATTTCTGACAGCACACGTTATTCGTAGTTTCATACACACTGAAGAATGGATGAATATGTATAGCTATACCATGGATACATGCAAAATAGAAACTCACATCATAACTTACATAATTAACAATCACTTAGATACCTAGTTAATTTCTATTTCTCAAATCTCAATTACACTGCTTCATGCAAACAATGCCTAAACAAAGAAAGAATTACAAACAAAAGATCAAATCTAAAGTCTAAACCACAAATTACAAAAGAAAAACAAAGCATAAAAAATAGCAATAGAGTCACACACAGAACAAACACACTCCCCAATCAACATTTGCATACAGGAATCAAATGCACCACGAAACAACACAAAAACAAAACACAGATCCAATCGACAGTGGCAATCCTCAAACAACAACAGCAAACATAAACATTAATTTCTACAAAGAGAAAGGAAAAGAATAAAACCTGAACAGCGCTATGGAAGATGCCACCAAGACCAATCCCATCCTTGAAGATCTTGTTGATCTGAACAATGGTGTTGTTGGTTTTCTCCGATCCACTATTTGTCACATCGTATATATGCAGTATCACATCCGTCATCTTTCCCTTTCACCCACCGAACAACAACAACAACAACCAAACCCAAACTTTACACAACCCCACTTCACCTTTTTATCTCTAAACCCTATTTACCTATCTGGGTCTATTTCTATGATTCGATTCAACTTCAAGAATCAACAACAAGCGTTGTTCGTTTTTCTCTCCCCCTTCGAGATTTGAAGAATTGAAGCTAGATTTGGCCTCGGGATCCTGCCACGATAACCCTCCAATTTTATTATCATCCAAAATTTCTCTCCTGAATCGAAAGATTTTTGAGTTTCTCTCTCGTGAATTTATATTCTAGAAGGAGGGAACATAAGAAAGAGAAAGAGACAGAGAGTGAGAGAAAGAGCAAAACTCAGTTATGAAAATCGGGGAAATGCAAAGAACGGAAAAGAAAAGAAAAAAGAAAGAAATGAAAAGACTTGTATGCCCCTCAAACGTACATCAAATTACGGTAAGTGCTCTTTTCTTTACAGCTGGCTGCCACTGTGGGACGTGTTTGGCTAATGATGAGTGGGAGTTGGAAAATGTGGGTTCCACGTGGCCATTATTAACGGTCACACAAACGGGCGGCTAGAGATGTTGAAATGACGGATTTACCCTCTCTTTTTCTAGTTTTGAATTTTGAGTGCTGTGTTCGACAGTAGTTTGTTAGTTAAATGATGGACACTTCCGTCAATTATGGGCATAAAAATAGCGTGATGCATGCAGACAAAACTTAGGGTATAATTTTTCAGATATTTATAGTGTTATTTAATAATTAAAATTTATTTTATCAATTTGATATTATGTTATATTTAATGCTTTTATTATGATAAAATATTAATTAAAAAATTATTTAAAATATCTACAAAATTATACTGACATTTATTTTTTGAGTGGTCCATTGTAATAAAAATTAAATAATCTTTATAATAAATTTATAACTAACCATGATGCTATTGCTAAGGATATGGGTGTGACGTCTATGCGTCAAATTATTGTGGTGCTCACTTTGGTGCTGATTGACATGTGAACAACTAGTAGTCGTGATCTGACAAGGTTTTTCGTTTAGGTCAAAGTGTCATTCAAATTTCTTAAATGTTTTATATTTTTATTGAAGTTATACCAACTTTTAGTATTAATTTTTGTGGTATAATTTATTGAAGTTAAATTGTAGTTTTAATAAATATTGATATAGAAAATATTTTTCTAATTGTTAGATGGTAATGTCAATTATATTATTAAAGTATGTTTTATTTCAACATATTTTAAATGTTTAAAATAAAAAAATTTAACCTCATTTCAATTTTTTACTCAATTATATTTATTTTATTAATATAAGTATAACTATATAAATTAAAGATAAAATTAAAAATCAACAAAGGTTAATCTGAGTAACAAGCAGCTTAAGCAAGATTTTTGGTTCGAGTCTTTGTATATACAAAAAAAATTTAGTAATAGATTCACCCACCACATCCAGGTGCACCCGCGACTCAAGTTGGATTTGAGTTAAAAAATATACTTTTAAAATTTTCAGAAGCACTTATATTCAATTTATATTTTTTATTTTGAGAAGTAAATTATATTTGTAAGCATTTATATACTTTTATTTATTTTATAAAAAAATAATTTATAACAGTATTAAATTTTAATAATAAATTAAACATAAAAAATAAATTTATTATGTCATAATTTTTTTTTAAAATATTAAGTTATTATTTTTTACAATTTATTTAATATTTATTTTATATTTTTAATTAATACATTAGTTTTGAAAAAGTTATTAAACAAAATTTTAATATAAAATTAAATTATTTTTTAAAATTTTAAATATTATGTGATATTATAGAATTTAATTTTAACTTAAAATTTTAATTCTATATTCTAAATCAATTTCAAATAATTGTGATTCTGAACTAATTTCAATTCTATTGATATTAAAATTATAATTACAATTCTATATATCAAATAAGCTCTTACGTATATTTAAATTTTAAAATAAAAGTTATATTAGTGAAAGAGAAAATATAACATATATAACTTAATTTTAAAAAAATTATATTTTATTTTTTTATCTTATATATAAACTTTCAGATTTTTTTTAGGAATCTCTATATTTATATTTATAAAATTTTATTACATAAATTTTTATGTTTATTACATTATATAAAATTTCAAATTTTTTTGAAATATCATAGTTTTTATAAATTTTAATATGTTATTTATATTTTTAAAATTATATTATATTTTAAAATATTATAATTTTATTGAATCTTTATTATTTTGATACATATTATTTGTGATTATAAAATTATGTTAAAATAATTATTTTTAAACTAATATTTTAAATATATATATATATATATATATATATATATATAATAAAGTATCTATGTGTTGCACAGATTTATTATTGTAAATAAATCATTATAAGTTATTTGAAGTTTAAATATTGATAAAAAATAATTTCGTATTTATATTGTCTATAAAATATTTAAAAGTAATCAAATTTAAACGCATATCAATATAATTTTAAAATTATTTATAATTTTTTTTAAAAATGATCCATTATTGTATTCTCATTTTATTTTTTATGCATTTAGTTATATCATATTAAATTTTATTTATTATAAATAATTAAATATAAAATAAATATCATAAATATTATAAAACATAGTTATGGGATGCGTTATATATTAATAAATTAAGTGACATTGTTTTTATATAACATGAAATCACAAGCTTAAAAAAGTAATTTACAAATTTCTTATGTTGTATTTAAAAATATAATAAATACAAGATTCAAATTTAATCCAATATTATAATTTTTTGATTTTATTTGTGAGAAAAATATTAAACTCAAATTAAAAATTATTATTTTTTATATATCTAATTAAAACACATATACAATTTTTCATTTATACTCTTGGTTCATTGAAGATAAAAATAGTTTATAATATTTGTTTTGTTTTTGTTCTAAGGTTAGACATCACATTATATTTATCTAAATAGTTTAAATTTAATTAGAATATTATTATATATTAATTTCTGTAATTTCATTAATTTAACATAACTATAATTATTATGTATAGTGCACTTAAATTTATATTTAAATAATTAAAAATAAATGTATATTTATTTTAATGCTATTTACAAATTTTTCTAAAAGAAATTCCGGCAATACGACACATGACATTGTGATAAATTGAGATACTATTGGATAAAATGGTGAATAAGAAAATACAAGTCAAAGACTTGAACAACTTTAGCGTGCATGTGTATATATCTTCAATTTTAGAGGAAGTGAGAATTTTATGAATATCTTAATTAAAAGTAGAGTTGAAAGTTTGATGGTAAGTAATTTTGTATGAAATACTCTAAAACTCAAGTTAATAGAGATTTTGGCAAATGTACATGAGAGTTAAGGCTTCCTTCTTTATAAAGATATGGGCCCTTACATTGATGTCAATTGATTGGTTAACAACAATGGAAATTAGTTGTCTCTTAAAATATTGCTTATTCAAAGGTAAGAATAAAACTCTTGTTGATTTAGGGTTAAGTAAATTATTCACGTTAACCAATATCATTGATTGGTAATATAATGAAAATAAGTCATGTTGTCTGACAGGAACTTAAAATGTGTTTTGTTTAAAATTCAGTTTATTTAAGCAATAGGCTAAATTTAAACTTTTTAAAATGCTTAATAAGTTAATTAAGTTAAACTTGAGATTAAGAAAACATTTATTAGATAAAATAAATTTTCCTATTTAAGACTCACTAATTTTATAATAATATATAAAATGATGTTTACATATAAATCATAATACATTTATAATATTATATTAAATAAATTAAGCTTTAAAATAAATAAAATACTAAACTTTATAATATTGTATATATAAGTTTTATGATTTTTTAGATATATTTTTATATTTGATAGTTTATTTATAAAAAAAATTAATGGTTTGTCATAGGTTTTAATACAAAATAAGTCATTAAAATAATTAATAGACCAAGTTAAACTTTTAAAAAAATCAAATTAAATTTAATAAAAATATATAATAGATAATAAATCAACTTTATGCTTTAAAATAATTAAATAAACTATACCTCTTTATATAAAACTTATCTTAGTGTAACATAGATCCCTCTTTAAATAGTAAATCTAGTCTAACGTTGACTTTGCTAGTGATGATAATTTGATTCTTTTAACTACAATCAATTATGTTAACCTTGAATAGTTGCCTCTAGCTCAATGTTATTAGAGCACAATAGTGTCAAGGTGTTTTGCAAATAGGATAAGTGAGCAATTATTTATGGTGGTCATTTGGTGTCCTTGAGATAAATCTAGTTGCTAGTTTAGTTATGCTTGATAGCACACCTTGATCACAGTTGACGATGATGATCTTGAATGTTAATATTCTCATGTGCAAGACTTGTTTTGATGGTAATCTAGTAGAGAATCATAGGAAAATGCATGTTTGTTTTCTATGTCTCGAGAATAAGTCGATGTTCACTGAAATTTAAGGAGTTGAAAGAGGAAGTTACGAGGGTGCTCTTAACTTTTGACTGAGGTCTAGTGTGAGGGATGACTTAGTAGGTTTATGGAAAGATAGAATAGTAAAATAAACATATTTGATGCTTTTATGTAGGAGAAATTTTTGGATAATTTGGGATCATGTGGTCTCAGCCACTCATGCTTTATTATGTGTTCATTTTTTCTTTTACAAAAAAATGCACACATGTTATGTTACTATTGGTTGAGACATATCCAACAATTTTATGTAGAAATTTTTTTTTGGGTGATTTGAGATTATGTGATCTCGACCACTCATACCTTATTATGTGTTATTTTTTCAAATAAAAAATGCACACATGTTATATTACTATTGATTGGGACCATGGTAATTCAAGACTAAGAATTTTATTTTTTCTTTACGTAGTATTAGAATTTTCTTTAACCCATTATGTAATTTTCATTATGCAATGACTATAATGAAATTACCTTTTCCTTTAGAGATCTTAAATTACGTTGCTCTCAGAACACAATATATGATTCTCATACAATTAAGGGTTTAGAGAGCACTAACCTAAATTCATTGTTCCTTGATGTTACCTCTTTCTTTAATGTCGTTGATCCCTTAGTATTTTCCTCAAATCTTCTTTCCTCTTTCATCTCCTCTCGGATGGTTGAGAGAAAGTTCCTTTCTTGTGTTTACCGTAAGCTCACTCAGAGACCGTGAAAGTGAACAAATAGAGAATGTCATAACCTCTATTTGATAACCGCTCTTTAATTTATATGAAGGGAAAGGGGAGGATTTCCTTATAATTGTATTTACAATTATACCCTCAATGACTCTATATTTTATATTTAACCATCA